GCCAACTCTGGGATAAGTACTGTCCTTATTGCAATTTACAGGTGGGGAAACTGAAGCACAGAAAAGTAACTTGTCCGGGGTCACACAGCCCATAAGTGGTGGAGCTTGGATTTGAACCTAAGTGGTCTGGCTCCAGAATCTGTTTCACAACCACCATGCAGCGCTTAACTGGGATCTATTTAGTTACTCTCCTGTTGGTTGAGTTTTTGAAATGTAGTTGGAGCTTGGGTCATTGGTCAGTGTTTTCTTATGTCATGTCTGAACATGTCAGTTTTAAAACCAACATGTTGTGTGTATATTTCTTCAGCTCAAGTGTTGTTGTTGTTATGTGTTGTCGAGTCGGATCCGACTCATAGCGACCCCACCTTGGGTTTCCAAGGTGGGGTCGCTATGGAAGTAGATTGCCCAACCTTCCTTCTGAGGAGTGGCTGGTGGGTTTGCACTGCCAGCCTTTTGGTTAGCAGTCAAATGCCGTAGGCACTATGCTACCAGAGCTCCTTCAGCTCAAGTAGGTTACCAAAAAGAAGACCATTTTAAGATTTAAATGAATATCCATTTACTTCAGAGTTTTTCATCTATATTAAAAGAAGCCCTATTTGTATATAGGTTCAAACTTCGTTTTCATTTTCAATTACAGGTCTCTTATTGGACCATGATCTTAATTGTCATAATGAACAATTAAAAAGCCAAACCGTTGCCATCAAGTCAGTTCTAACTGATGGTGACTCTGTTACAGAGTGGAATTGCTCCATAGGGTTTTCTTGGCTGCATAGGGTTTATGGCAGCAGGTCACCAGGGCTTTCTTCCAGGGCACAGTTACTGTACTGAGAGCCTACTGTGTGCCGGGCATTTTGCACATTGGCATGGAGTGTGTATCTTCATCTCTGCAGCATCCAGATGTCATTATTAATCTATTTGCTCAGAGTCACTTGGCACCTGTATTTGCCTGGAGGCAGACTGACTCCGTGTTCCGTTCTTAATCACCACACTCCTGTCAGGTAGGATTTTAGAGTGGAACCAAGTATAATTTGTGGACAGCTGGTCTCTTACAGAAGGTTCTAGATCTTACAGCTCAGCTAGTCGTAAATGAGGCAAAGAAGGGCAGTGTGGAAGAGCAAAGATGTTACTTTGAAGACTGAGGTGCGCCTGACCCATGCCATGGTGTTTTCATTCAGCTCATACACATGTGAAAGCTGGACAGTGAATAAGGAAGACTGAAGAAGAGTTGATGCTTTTGAGTTGTGGTGTTGGCGAAGAACACTGAAAGTACCGTAGACTGCCAGAAGAACTAACACATCTGTCCCGGAAGAAGTGCAGCCAGAATGCTCCTTGGATGCGAGAATGACCAGACATCCTCTCACCTGCTTTGGTCATGTTGTCAGAAGGGACCATTCCCTGGAGAAGGATGTCATGCTTGGTAAAGTGGAGGGTCAGCAAAAAAGGGGAAGGCCCTCAACAACATGGATTGACACAGTGGCTGCGACAATGGGCTCAGGTACAGCAAGGATTGTGAGGATTGCAGAGGACCGGGCAGTGTTGTGTTCTGTTGTACAGAGGGTCACTGTGAGTCAGGGATGACTCAACAGCACCTAACAACAACATCCTACTGGACACTATTGGCTTTGAGATAATAGGGCAGGTATGCGTCATTAATCTATCCTAGCGCCAACCATCAGATTCTAACGTGGATTCTGCATGCTGCCTCTGACAGTCCGAAAGAAGTACCATAGGCTCCTGGTCAAGTGATCTTGTATGAAGGACGTATACCTGTTTGGATGTGAGTGTGCAATCAAAGTGAAGAAAAACTGAGTCTGGTCCGATAGACTCCATCTCAACCAGTAAAAGTAATCTTACTATATTCAGAGTACCTTAGTTGATCTAATACAAGAATATTAAATAGAAGAATGAAACTATTATAGAATAAAACTTGAAAGGAAGAGAGTAGGGCTAGTGATCTGTGTAAGACCACATATCATGTGGTTTTATTACTTCCAGGGCCCAGAGGAAACAGGAACAGGTGGAGCCGAGCAGGTGGGGCGTGAACTGTGTTGTGTACGTGCCTCTTCTGAGTGAGGTAACTGCTGTTCAGCCCCAGCCAATGGTGGTGAGGAAGGATGGGCCTAGTGTGACCATATCTTCAGGTCCTTGCAGAAAAACCAGAAATCCAAAGTTTCTTAGGGAGAACACATACCAAGAAGAGCCCGTAAGAGAACTTGGACCTCCCCGCTCCTGCCGCTACTCCTCACCTCACTTCTCTTCTCCAGGCCTTTGCCTCCAGCCCCTTGGGCTCCCTGCCACCCAGGCAGTCTGCTGGGCGTAGGAGCAGGGAGCGTCATCCTCTCTGAGCCTGAGTTCCTTCGTCTGTGAAGGAGAATGTCTCCTCCATGCTCACAGGATATTGTACCCAATGAAAGCTATAGGTTCTCCAGGTGTCCACAGAGTGCTTGGTCCAAGGTGGGCTAAGGATATCTAGCCAGACCTATAGTTAGAAGA